TGTTTTAAAAGGATGATGAGATATATTTTTATTTTCTCATGCTATCTCCAGTTGGCTTTGGTGTCCTGGGTTACACGAGACTCAGAAAATACAGATGCTGCTCCACCTACAATGGCGTTATGTCCCAGTAAATTCAGCGTAGACTGAAGGTGTCACTGGGTAGCAACGTCTAACATACTCTGAACTGTGCTTTAATGACACTGCACGCTAGTGTCGGTGTTTCCTCTCACTGCTGCTGCCCAGCTCACAAGAGACAGGATTGTACCACATATCTCAGCCTGGGAAAAGATTCAATATTTGAAATATGATTTCTGCTAAGCATATGTCAACTTCACACCATCCTAAAGCTGAAAAAATCAGAAGCTGAACTATCCTAAATTAGGCACTGTCGGCTAGCTTCTTTTTTATTTTTTGTCTAGTTTTCCAAACACCTTGTATAAGACAAGGAGTACCTGTTTTTTAAAGATTTGGAAAACTTCTCAGTAAAATTTTCTAGTACGTAAATACTAAGAGAAGTCTTTTGACTACCAAATTAGTTTATCAGTATTCAATATCTAGTAATGATTTTTTTTTAAAATTAGCAACAGGAAAGAAAGGCTCATTACGTATTATATACTACACACAAAAAAGCCGATAGCAGGCATTATAGTAATAGTGAAGTATTTGAAGCTTTCTCTACTGTGACATGGAGAAGAGGCACAGATGCTTCCATTCCCCGTTCCATTCGCATTATACTAGATGTCTTATCCAATGGGATGGGAAAAGAAAAAGGCAGAAGCCCAAGTTGGTGAGCTTCCCACCACGACAGCAAGTACTGAGACAAGCAGCAAGAAGAGGGAGGACAGGATGGTCTCCCACAGTCTCCTCCACGGGGGCTGCCTCTAAAGATCTGACCATCTCCCACTGGCCTGGATGTCAGAGGCTCCCTGCCTCCCACTGACCGCAGGTTGGGCCAAGCCTTTGTCAAATGGGCCTTCAGGGGACATTTAAGATCCAAAATACAGGGGCTGGGGATTTAGCTCAGCGGCAAAAGCGCCTGCCTGGCAAGCGCAAGATCGTGAGTTCAGTTCCCGGTACCGGAGAAAAACCAAACAAACAAACAAAAAAAAGATCCAAAATACAGGAAGAATGTAAGGTCTTGAAGGGAAAAACATGAAATCTTCATTATTTTTGGATGGCATTATTTTGTTTCTAGAAAACCCAAAAGAATCCACAGAGGCATTTTAGATTAATGTGAGAGTTCATCAAGGCTGTGAGATTGGAAATGTACAGTCAAGTAATTACAATTCTGTATTCAGCAATGAGTAAAAGATGAAAAAAATTAAAATACCAGCTACAAAAGCATCACGAAGCCATATATCTAAGAATAAAGGTAAGGCATTATGTGTAAGACCTCTATATAGAAAACTATGAAATATTGATAGAAATTGAAATAGGAATAAGTGGAAAAATATACTATGTTCATCGATTGGAAATCACAATAGTGTAAAGATACCAATTTTTCCTAAAATGCTAGGTAGGCCTTGGAAATACTTAACAAACTCTCAACATTATTTTAAATAGTTGCAAACTGGATAAAAATGAAACTTTTTAATACTAGAATGGACAATACTCCATACTCCAATGCTCCATGGTAAATTCATATAATGGAATACTATTCTGTAATAAAAATGAATACACTAGAGCTATGCAGAATGATTATATGAATCTCACAAACATGTAGTATGAAGACAGCGAGACATTCAAAGAATGCTTTGTGATTCTATTTATAGAAAGTTCAAACAACAATAAGTAGAGTTTAGGATGTGGGTGTCGGTAGCCAAATTACGAAGGAAACCAAGGATGTGGCTCTGTGTGTAGGTAGAAGGTGGGTTTGGGGAGAAGATGTGGCTGAGGGGCGTCTCAGCTGCTCCCGGAGTTCCACTTCCTGATCTGGGAAGTGGTCGTATGTAGTTCACATTGTTATACAGTAGATGATTGCATTGATATCTTTAGTGTTTTTGTTTTCCAAATCGATGTTATATTCTGCAGCTTTAAAAAGGGATTTTTAAAAATGAAGCAGTTGAACTGAATAAAATTCTTCTACTTCTGAGGTTTGACTCTGGGTCCAACCATCATAAATCTACCAGACTGAAAGTTCTTAGCAAAGGATCCGAGCCCAGTCAGATCCGATACTGACAGGAATTCTAACCAGTGCTGCTGAGTGGGTACACAGCTTCACAGACTGGGGGGAAATAGTGCTGTGCCTACGTAAACCTGGCCTCAGGGCCCAACTCATTTGGTGAATTCAGCAGAAAATAGAAAAAGAAAGGGCTGCAGACTTTTCCACATTCATTACTCCCTTTGAAAGGCTTGCGTTTTGAGAGTCGGAACTAGCTTTCATACATTGCTGGGGAGAAAACATTAATGAAATAGCTTTTTTAGTAATGAAACACATAGTATTTTCTTATCATTGTCATGTTTAGGGTATTTAAATAGGTAAGTACCAAAGATTGTGTAATGCAGTTTCATAAGAAAAAGGTCTTTCTGGGAGCTTCTGTGTCAGCCAACTTTGTCTGCATATCAGAACCCCCGGAACACTGTTCCACCTCAGGTGGAGATTTGAGCACAAATAATATGAAAAAAGAGACCTTAGCACAGGACAGGCTAACTGCCTTTTACATCACAAAGGAAGGCTTTTCAGTTCCTGGTACTCCTCCCTGGCACCACAGTATGAGCAATGAGAAGCTCTGGTTTAGTCTTGGACTGGAAGCTTCAAAGCCATGAACCAAAGCAAACGTACTCTCTTTACAAGCTAATTGCATCAATTATTCTGCTATACTGATAGGAAACGGGCTAATACATGATTGAATGTAGACAACAGTTCACACAAAAGACTAGAAGTAATGTTACTTTTTCATAGCTAAAGAATGCTTAGTTTTCCTGTCGATTCACTTACACTGTAGTATTATAATCAGCATTTGTGTTCTCAGTCTTCCTGCAAAGAACACCCATGATTTTATGAGCCCTGATATGAGTTCTGGATCTTACTCTGCACCATTTATAAAATCCTTTACACCTTTGAGCTCCTGTGCTTAGCTGTGCATTGCAATTCCTTCTGACCTTTAATATACAAAAAGAGATTATGCATCAGTCCATCACTGGGGAAGTCTGTGATGTGCTGACTTTGGCATTTTGGTTTTCTGCCTTCACTTTGCTGTTACTGAACAGCTGGTGCAGCAGAAGCTGAGCAGGAGATGTCATCTCTACATTTCCTTCCTTCCTTTCTCCTTTCCTTCTTTTTTTTTTTTAATCCAACATTTATTAATTACTCACTACATGCCAGGCACTGCTGTGCAGTCTTTTGTATCAATAAGTAAGATGTCACTGCTCTTTTCTAGGTCACAGTTTAGAAGATGCAAAAATAAATAAAAAGTGCAAAATGAACTAATTTGTCTCCAGTTTCTCACTCCAAACCACTCTTTGGTTTACCCCACTTGGATTTCTGTTCCTACAGCACTATAGAGACTGCTCATTTACTCTGCTCCTTTGAACATGAATTGCATGGGAACGTGGGCATTACCTTTCTAATTGACACTGTGTCCCTAACATGGCACCCAGGAGATGTTGAGCAGTTACTGCCAAATGAATAACTCAGACCAGCAGCCTGTAGCGCCAAGGTCATTGGCTGGAAGGAGCTAGCTCATTCCAGGGATTGCTGGGCAGGCCAGGAAGAAATATGTGGTTTTAGAATGAGGAGTTGAAGTAAGGGAGGAATTTAGGATAAGAGACAGGGAAACAGAAAACGGAGTGTGCAAAGCTTTAGAGGGAGAAAACAACGCTGATTTGAAGAGAAAAAATTAAATTATCCATTTAGGGCAGGAATGATGTCATCAGAATGGTAAGAAATTTAAGCTGTATCTTTAAAATTGATAGTCATTGAAAGATCTCAGGCAAATAAATTATATACTAGATTTTTGTTTTCAGAAAATTCCTCTGTTTATGTTATGGAAAAAGGTTTCTAGGGTGAGAGTGCGATGGGGGAAGAAGGTTTTTGGTTTTGCTGCTGTTTGTCCTTACTATTATCTGAGTATAGCTGCACCACTCCTAGAAGCACTGAGCACTCAGGATGGCCCAGGGCTCAGTTGGGAGCTCCTGGAGTTGCCTGGGTGGATAACGATGTGGACCCTAAGTAAACTAGTGGGCTTATTAAAGAACAGTGACTCCAGAGGAATTAGGATGTGGAATGGCAGGAGCAGGTGAGTGGGTTAGGGGTAAGGGAGAGAGGAGGTCATGGTGTTAGCATTTGTGACTACACTGGAAGATAGTTATAACAAGCCCAGACAGAAAATAATTGTAATAAATCTGAAAATATAATTGAGAAAGACATTAGCGATCGTTTTTCATTATCTTGGGGTGTCCATTTTAACACTGATATGAGGCTAATAAAAGCCACAAAGAATGAGTGAACATCCTCGACAAGAGATAAAGGAGAAGATCTTTTGCCAAAGCGGGAACTCTCTTTCTGACTTTCAGAGCCAAGATCAACATTGTCATATAACTTTGATTCTGGGTGAGCTTCTAACTGGATGCTCACTTGCCTGCAGCCTGTGCCAAAAGCAATTCATAAAAAAATGGCAGAAAGATACAGGAGAGGAGGGAGCTGTTAGAAAGGGAACCGAAGACTTCTAATGGCTTTTGGTAATGGCCCAGCTGTACTAATTTGATTTTTTTGAACTGAAAACCCCAGGATACTGCCCTGAATGCCTGAGCTCATGCTGGAAATAGCATCCTTTAAAGAGTGACTCAGGGGACAGCCCTGAAATATAAATAGCTTTCAGAATTAATTTCCAGATATGGGCCAGGTAAATAAATAACTGACTTCTGGGTGACATTAAAACATTTTCACAGGTGCACCAAATATTTTCAGCTCTTGATGGATTTTTATTGAAGTAATGACCCAGTGATGAGACTCAATCCTTCTTCTCCATACCTCATTTCCATATTGAAGCATTACTTACTTGGAATTCAGGTGTCTATAACCTTGTCCATCCTTTACCCATCCAAGAACCAAAAGGTAACCACAAGTGGTCTTTGGGTGGCAAACCTAGATGACACATAATTGAAGGTCACATGTTTTGTTGCTTTGAAACCTACTCAGGCCCACTCTCACAGCTTGTTCACTGCTGGTTTTCGTGAAGTTTGAGTGCATGTGGTCATCTGGCTTCCAAACCCAAGCACCGGGCACGTTGCATGATGAGGGACAGAATGCTGCAGGGAGAGAGGCCACCAGACTGCTCCCAAGAGAAATTTCAAAAAGTCTCTAACAAACAAATAATTCAAAAACAGTGAATTTGGGGGTGGTTCATTGTTTGGGGTAAAGAGCCAGCATATGTCTTATGGCTTTTGAATGTGTTATGATACATCGCTATACCTTTAAATACCAACTGGAGTTTGTAATGACCCTGAAGACTTCAGGAGAGTGTGACGTGAGCAGTGTATGCTGCTTAGGACTATAAACAAGTATAGGATTAGTTGACTCTCGCTGCACAGGCCTGTATCCCAGCAGGTATCCTCTGGGAAGCTGAGGCAGGAGGATCCAAAGTTCAAGCCAATGTGGACACTTTTGTGACTCAGTAAGACCTTGATTTAAAAAAAGTATAGGGGTACTGGGGGGTATAGCTTAGTGTAGAGGTCCTGGGTTCAATTCCTAGTAGAGCAAAAAAAAAAGTATATGATTGCTCTGGAAAGATTCATGCCAAATAAAATAAGGAAACAATAACAGGACTTTATTACTGAAAAAGGCAATAATTGCACTAGTTGGGGAAAATCACCTAGTATCATTGTCAGTGAGGTCTGAAACAAGAGATTTAATATAATTGTTCATTTCTAACCAGAGGCGATCTCTGATGCTTTTTGAAATCCCCTCCACATCACCAGGATGCCTGATGGTCAGGTCAGGTGAATACCCTATACTTTGTCAGAGGCCATACCCACCTGAACTTGACCTCCTGCGTGACCTTGAGTTTTAAATCAGCAGGATCATGCAGAAGCTGCAGCTGATGCCCCCAGAGAGGGAAGTCCAAGGGCTTGGGTCAGTATCTTTCTAATGGAAAGGAGGAGGCACCTGGAGACACGACGAGGGGAATCTCTCACCAGGCAAAGGATCCAGAAGGAAAATGAGAAAGAAGAAACCTAGGCAGACCTCCCACTGGATCAAATCGTACCAAGGTTCCCCAGAGCAGAGAACAAAGACAATTCCCATGTCTACTAGCACCCCCGTGAGAGAAGATTTCCACCGTGGCTTCTTACCTCCCACCCCTCCTGGAGGAACTGGGCCTGGCCTCATGAGGGAAGTGGCATCTCAGACACAACCCAGGCCCTGCCCTCTTGACATTCCACGATGCCAAACTCTATATCCTTGAATGCCAACAGTCTGTGACAAGGGGCTGGGCTGAGTTAGGTAGCAGACTGACACTTTTGAACTAGAGTGGACTAATTTTAAAAATCACAAGTGACAGGAAATTCCATTACTAAAGTCTAGAAAAAGGGGTGCTTTAGTTGAAATTGCAATTTTAAGAAAGGTCCGTGGGTTTGTAAGGAAGGGAGACATCTGTGCCCCATCTGGGAGCTGATGCTGAAGTTGCCACCCAGGGTTACATCTGCCTTGGCCATGAGGGGCTATTACTTTCACACCCAACCAGTGACCATTCTAGGGCTGCTACAGCAGAGGGGGAAAGGAGCCCGGCAAAATGGCCCAAAGATTGCTTCAGTCTGAGGTGCTGCTGCATCTAAAACTTTAAAAACCCAGCTTTGTGTGTCTTCTCCTATTTCATTGTAATTTTAAACTTGCGGCAAGGTGGACAAACCTTTGGCTGAAATCACTTAGGTGATTTTTGTTCTTTCTTGTTTATGACAGGAGAAAAGGAATAAAAATTCTAATGTGAGTTTGTAATGGATTCATTAAGATATGTGTTCCTTTGTGCTAGCTCTAGTAAATGTTTTACTTTTGGGGAAAATAACAGTATATGCTTTACACTTATACCCTTCAAAAATTGAATTAGGTATGTTTATCCTCAGAAAACCATATATTCTTTGTATAAAATGTTAATTATGGGCCAGGGATGTTGCTCAGCGGCACAGCGCCTGCCTGGCAAGGGAGGGGTCCTAAGTTTGATTCCCAGTACAAAAAAAAAGGTAGTTATATATTTATCTGAAAGATACCTGGAGCACTTTTTCATCATAGAAGAGTCATTCCACTGTGACTGAGTCCATGATTGAGGCCTGCTAATACCGGGCTCTGAGTGGGGTGGAGGGTTTGGCCTGTGGCCATCTTCTCTGCATGGGACACGTGGAACACATTCAAGTAACGGACACTATTACAGCCCAATACTGAGAAACAGACCCATCCAAGGTCACTTACCTCAAGTGGAGGAGTTGAGACTCAAACTCACGCAGTCTGACCAATGGAGTCAGCATCATAGCCCTGCAACACTAAGAACAATCATTTAAAATGTCTTTGTCAAGTACACAGAAAAAAACCATTTTTAATGTTTTAGTTTGCATCTTTTTCACTAATGATGCTGCACATTTTGCTATTTTGGTTATTAACTTTATGTTCATTATGTGCATTGTCTATTCACAACCCTTGTGAATAGACCATTGCAAATTGATACTAATTTTTTCCTTTTCGGCTTATAAGAATGCTGAATTTAAACAACCTGAAGATCAGATGTATTACATGTATTTTCACAGTGTGTCATTCACCCTTTCATTTGTGCAGATATGGGTTTCCCAGGGGGTGCATTTTGTGATGTGAATGCTCTTTTAAAATCATTACTTGGTCAACTCTATAATCTTTTATCGTTTCTCAAAGACCGTCTCCTAATATTCATCAATGTTTTATTCTTAGACTTTCACTTACTTTAACAGCAAAGTCGAGAGAAATGTATGCAGAGCATGAGTATACACACAACACCATCTAGAGTCTACCATGAACATTTTACTACATGTTCTTTATGTGCAGCTACACATCTATTCATCCTTTGTCACTCCATTAAAGCACTTTCAGAGCTTTTCAAGAAAAATTATAGATAGTATGTACTTTCCTTCTAATTACTTTGGCATGCATATTATTAATTATAGTTCAATATTCATTTACAATTTTTTCTCTTGATGTAAAATTTTCTAAAAATGAAATGCATAAATCTTAATTGTACTTTCACTGAGTTTTGACAAATATGCAAACCCATGTAGTTTGGTATACAAGTAAAGCACTGTCAGGTCCCTGCCATGACCCTCTCCCCCCACCAAACCAGAGAAAAGCATTGTTTTAATTTTCTTCTGTATAAATGCCTCAGCACTCTGGAATTTCATGGAAGTGAAATTACACAGCTCTGGAATGCAGTTCTCCCATTGCTCACGTTTCTGTATATCTTGCTAGCAGAGGCTCGAATGGCCTTTGATGCCAACTTATTTCAAGGATGTTTGTAGAATGGGCAGCCTTGGAATGAAAACTGCTTTGGGAGCAAAAAGCAGGTGTGCTTACTGCCCACGACGGAAGAACCAGGCTGACTGGGCTTAGAGACATTCTCACTGCCTGCGCAGCTGCTGCTGGACCCGTGTCATGTCACTCGATGGGATCTGTGCTTGGAAACCAGCCCAAGAAAATGCTGATCCTCTGGCTACTGCTAATAGCTGTGAAAAGTAAAGTCATTTGTCTCTGACTCAGGAGTCCCATATCTTCACCCAGCATCCATAAAATGTGGCAGGCTAACTGGTTAGCTTGCAAGTAGGGTAAAGGTTCAGAGCCTTCTCAGTTCTTGACATATAGTATCTACTCTAGCTTCTTTCTACTTGTCTGCAATTCAGCCCTGTTATTGCATTTATCAGGAATTCTTTTCCTCTTACTCCTGAGTACTATTCCATCATAGTACAGATTATTTCTCCATTCTCCCATGGATTTCTGGATCATACCTGGTTTTTAACTATTAGGAATAAAGCTGCTATGAAAGTTTTGGATTAAGTCTTCTTATGAATACATGTTTTCATTTTGTGGGTGGGGAGTATGCCATGGTATAGGGTTGCTAGCTTTGGGGGGAGGCACACATTTAATTTTCTTTTAAAAACTGTCAAGCCTTTCCCAAAGGGTCATGCCACTTTATAACCTACCAGTGTGTATGAGAGTTTCATAACCTCTATAAACCTCATCAACATTTGGTGGAATATGTCTTTTTTATTTAAGTAAATCTGGCAGGTGTTGCAGTACTCTTTTATTGTAATTTGTGTTCTTCTGATGAGAAATGACATGAGTGCATTTGTAGAGTTCATTGGCCATTTATATATCTTGCTTTATGAAGTCTTTGATCAAAATTTTTTTTGCCAAGTTTTGGGAGTTGTTTATTGAGGTTTTATTGTACAATTAATAACAGTTGTTGGTTACATACAATTTTCCCCTATGTCTTGCCTAGGGACATCCTTAATAGTGTTCTTTAATGAGCAGAGGTTCTTAATTTTGATGAAATCTGTCAATTTTTTGTTTGTGGTTATTTTTTTCTGTGTCCCTTCTAAGAATCCTCTTACTACCTTCACCCCAATTGTATTCTCCTTTAAAAATATTCCTAATACCACCAACCTCTCTTCTTGGCCCTCCATAATTTCTTTGAGAAGGGTTATCCAACCCTTTACCTGCTCCTACTGGTAAAAAGAATACAGTGGGGTAGGAATTAGGCTGATCCCCAAATGTCCAAAATGTTGTTCTGTCTTGTTACATATACATTCCCTTTAATCTACATTCTGACCCCAGCCATGAAAGGTGTTATTAGCCTCATTTCATAGACCTAGGCATGTGGCTCATAGAGGTGAAGTAAGTTTCTCAAAGTCACACAGCTCCACAGTGTTGGAGCAGGGAATCAGGCTGTAAATTCTTTCATCCCAAACCTGTGGTCATTCCATTCCCCTAAGCTTAACACCATACTATTCACATTCATGCGCTCCAGCATCGCAGTCACTATAGCATTTCATTCTCATTTTGTTTGGTTCCTATTGAATAATTCTTGCCGGGTGCAATGGTGCATGCCTGTAATCCCTACACTGGGAAGACTGAGGCAGGAGGATCATTGGGCATTCGAGACCAATCTGGGCTACAAAGTGAGCTCAAAGGCAGCCTGAACTGCATGGGGAGACCCTGTCTCAGATAAAAAAAAAAAACCTTACTGAATAATTCTCTAATGTTTCCCATTGTATTGTTCATGCTTCATGAATTGATCTGTGTTGTACAATAGAGGGATATACTGAAGTAAGATTCAAAATATTTATATAATTCATAACTATGAGTTACATAATATTTGAATTATGTAAAGATTAACAGGATTAAACAGGATGAAATAAATTGCTGAAGATTAAAGAAGTTCATGCAATAAATTGCTGACTCAGGTAAAATACTTGGCTATCTTTTCTTAAAAGGATGTTTAAAGAGGATTTTCAATTTTTCCTTCAAAAACATTTTGAATTAGTGCGTTGAAGTTGTGAAGACTGTTTGGTATGAGGGAGCAGTGTCCTGAAAAGTCTGCTGCTCGTGAGTGGATTCAGACTTCTCAGGGCGCCTGCTTCTCTATCCTAACTCAATGATGGTATTCCAACTCTAGGCTGAAAAAAATAAAATCTTCCTTTTGTAGTTTTTCTTGCCATAGAAAGATCCAACTGCGGAGCAATAGCAGCTCTTCTTAGGCCTGCAGGAGAGAGCAGCGGCAGCTGCTGAGGTAGCAGGGAGGAGGCAGGGGGATGTGGCAGTGGTCCCTGGCAGTGCTCTCTGGTCAGAGGAGGGGAGGAGCTCGAGGGCTGACTAGGATCGTGGCTATCAGAGAGAAAAGGGAAAGGTTGGGCCTTGTTTTGCTACCTCAATAACTGGAAAAAGCTCTCACTTTTTAAGAGAAAATCATTTCACAATTAGAAGTTATATTACTATTGTCCTGATTTAAGATGTTTCACAGGACCCAATAGTATATCTTTGTGAGCTTAGTAGGGGAAAGTGCCAGGCACTTGCATTTTTCCTCCACAATAAGCCACGAGCATGTGTGTGGGGTGGAGGTCATCACGCCACAAGTCTTGGGTGGAGCTGACATCATGACGTTCCCTCCATACTTCTTGTTGAGATCACTGTTCTTGTTATACTTCTTGATTTTTCACTTTCAATTTTGGGTACCAGAGCTGGGTTAAAGAGCTCCTGCCCAGGGCAGAGTAGAATGTTTGCAGAATCTTTGTCCTTGGAGCCTGGCTGAGCAGCAGGAGCCACAACGTGGTGGCAGGGGTGACAGATAAACAGGTAGCACGGCCCTCAGGAAGAAGTGTGTGGCCTCAGGAGTGAGGATGTTCACTTCAGAGAATGTTCTAGATGCGTCCTGTGGGCAAAGTAGAACCCCGAGCTATAAAATGCAGCTGAACATCATGTGAGTGAAGCCATGGAGGATTCTTTTCATTACTTTTTCCTCTTAAATTGAATTCTCTCAGGAAGATACTGAGTGAAGGATTTGCATGTCAGTGGTTTATTAAGGAAATGCTCTTAGCTGGAGGCAGTGATGCATACCTGTAATCCCAGCTACTCGGGAGGCTAAGGCAGGAAAATCACAAGTGTGAGTTCAGCCTGAGCAACTTAGTGAGAGCCTGTCTTTAAAAAATTTCACAAGGGGCTGGGTATGCAGCTCAGTGTGAGGCCCTGGGTTCAGTCTCAGAACCCCACTCCAAAAAAGGAAGAAAATGCTCCTAGAAGCAAGGGAAACAGGACTGGGAAGTGCTAGAACCCAACAAACGATACTGCTTCAAGTGGTGCCTCCCGCTCAGCCTGAGCTCAGTCTGATTTGCAGAGGAGCTTGGGAGCACTGCCTGCGGCCCCATCCTCTTTGTAGCAGATGCCGGGCATTTGTGAGTCCACTTGACCCTTCGCACCATGGCCTGGCAGCATGGGGCCGGCGGAGGAGGGCAGTTCTTTGTCGGGTGAGGCTGCTGCAGGGCTTAGAAGCAAACCTTATGCACACTAGATATTGTGAAATGGGAAGAAATTGTTCAAAAGAAAAAAGGAACCAGGATAGGGGAAAGAGAAGGAAAGGGAAAGGGAAAAGGAACAAAATACAAAATAGTTACACTACTAGTTTCTCTTAGTTCATTGAACAGAAAGGTTTGTGCTAATACCATTTGGAGAATTTTATAAGCCCATATCTTATAAGCTGATTAACTAATGATAACAATACTCAATGTACTAACTATTGTTCTTTTCTTATTACTTTGTTATGAAATTTTGCTTTACTTTTTTTCTGTAAAAAAAAAAAAAAAAAAGAAGCAAACCTTGAAAGTCACAGGGCTAGAGAATGGGCATGCGGTGTCCTTAGGGGAATGGATACGTCACCAGCTGTACCCAGTGTCCACTGCAGCTTCTGCCACATTGCAGTCTCTCTGGGGTTAGAAAATATGCAATATGAATTAGGGGAAGTCGGGGAAGACTACAGAACACATCCCTGGATTTGCTTGTTCTTCATGAGGGAAAAGCAGAATGAGGCCTGATTCCTTCACCTAGGTGACAATAAAATGTTCTGTAAGATGCTCTCAGTTTTGACTCTGTTTAAAAGCCACTTGGACAGGAGGCACAGTGCGATTTTGCAGTAATCCCTACCCACACCTCTCCTCTCTCCTCACACTCCTCTATAAACACAAGGGAGCAGGTGCACATCTGTGAGTGGTCATGGGGGCGTGGGTACTTGCTTTAATTTGTTCTAGTCTTCTGTTCTCAAAAGACCTAAATCAAAAGTTACCCCTACTTGATTTTCTCCCATGGATGAATTCATAGCTGGAGTTCTCGCCCCAGACCACTCCATGTAATTGGCCTTCCTAGGATTTTCCACACTGTCGCTTATTGTTTGTAGACTCTGTCTTCCTGGGGACAGACACTGTGAAGGGTATTTTTGTACGGTCTTGCAAACCCTGCCTTCACCAAGTGGACACACACACCCCAATTCAAATTCCGAGTCTCTCCGCTCACACGTGCTCACAGTCTGCTGGTGAAGAAACTGCTTACCCACCATGCCGCAGTTTCTGCTGCACATGCCACAGTGCCTTCCCCACGACAACTAAGAGATGAGTCGATTATATCCAGTCACTCTGGGTCTGGATTAGAGAAATCAGCTTTGAATCCTGGCTCTTCCACTCACTGTCCAAGTGCCCTTGAAATCCTGTTTAATATTCCTGAGTTCCACCTACCTCAGCCTTAAGACAGAAATAATTACAGTACTTGTCTCATGGAAGTGTCAAGAGGATTAAAGGAAGATATTTAAGGAAAATGCCACATGCACCTGGCTCACAGTTACGAGCCTTGCACAGTATTCAGTATTGTCACTGTTGTTCAAAATCTGAAGTTAGGGTGCACGGTGACCACCATGCACATGTTAGGGATGATGAGATGGGTCTCAGTAGGTTATCTAGAGGCCTGGAATTGGGAAATGGCATGTTTTCCACTCAAGCAAATGTTTTGTTTTGTTTTGTTTTGTTTTGTTTTCTCTAAACCTCAGCTGCTCCCTGGTCTTTAAGGTGGTGGTGGTGGTGGTTGGGTATGAGTATGAATGTGTGTGTGTGTGTGCGCGCGCAAGTGTGACATTGATAAGAAAGGAGAGAAAGCAAGACGGTGTCTGGACTGGTTTGAACCCACTCTGGTGTGGAAACATGATATTAAATTTTTTGGCCTACATTAGAATGGGGAACATACAGCCCCCACCTGTTCACCTTCTTGGGAAGCTGGGAAACAAGCCAGTGTCTCTTCTTATTCTCATTGCTTGGTTAAGCTGATCTCAAGCCTGGAGTCTCACCTGTCACTATGGCCTAGTATCTTCAGTTACGGGGACAGGCCCGGAAACCAGTAAGCCAGGTCTTCACGGCAGCGTCTCCCAGTAGCTCTCTCAGTTATTGCCAGTCAGGGAGGGAAGTGTGGTTTTGATTCGGAATTGAGTTGCCCAGCATTTGGTATCCATGGATAAGTGGATATTTCCATGGTAAAAGCAAAGATAATGCCCTTGGGTGCAGTCACTCTTAGAAATTTTGAAACCAAGTAATGCACTCACGGAACCTTGAGCTGATCTAAGTATGTGTTCTCTATACATCCATCTCTAGCAGCTACCTGGCCATCCACAGAAACTCATCTATTAGTGAATGTCTCCAAGTGATGGGCAAAGTGAATCTTCCTCATTCTCTTATTAGTTTATAGCCATTAATAGTTCCATCAGGGCCTCTCAAGTGTTTTACTCTATGTGCAGCGTGGTACTACTATGGGAGCTTTTCTCATTGAAAGCTGAATAGCTGGACTTTTGTATGAAATCTTCCAAATATTGAATATTGGTAACTAATTCAAAAAACAAACACATGACTTGGGTCCACTGAAACATGCTTATGGCTTGTGCACTGCGTGTAATCTGCCAGTTGTAATCACTTCATTGTGGTGGCCCAGAACAGTTTGGGGTTTTTTGTTTGCTTTTTCGTCATGGACTAAGAAGTGGTACTAACTGGTCATTTCTACCAGGGGTCTGCAGCCTGCTTCTGCCGGCAGACCAATGTGTGGAGATCATCAGATTCTGTCTGTAATTACCTGGGGCTCCTTCCATTGGCAGAACCCTGTGGAACTGAAAGGTCGATGCTTGTCCCAAATGTGACACCGAGAAACTGGATAAACCTAAGCAATTGCATCAAGATATGAGATGTATGTGACTTCATCCTGGCTTGGTGCTCCCTCACTGTCAGGACAAGTCTTTTTCTCAGAGGTTCCCATTCCTAATCTACTGAGCCAAGAGTGCCTCAAGAATAAGAACAAAAAATTGTGTGGCTTCCTGGGAGGATCCTTCTAGGGAAAGCCAGTCCTGTGCTTGCCTGGCTTCCTTCTGAATAACTTGAACTTGGACTTTAGAATTGGAGTAATGATCAGTACTTGGACAAAAATGCTAACTCTGTAATCAACATTTAATGTTCGTTTGTACCAAAGGACAATATGGTGTAAGATGTTCTGCTGCTGTTCAACTGACTTATGGAACTTTGACACTAAAGAGGTGTATTCTACGTGTTGAACAGAAAATCTATGGATCAGGTAGGGTCCCCACAGGTAACTCATGATACAAAGGGGATGATGGAATGGAGTTGACTAGCTGCAAATGGTAAAGCAAGGAGTCATTTCTGCTCTTAGATGTGAAGCAGCCAGGAAAAGGAGTGGTTTCTAGGAAAAAGGGACAGTGATTCACAAAGGGAGTGTGGCCTCTGACTGGCATGCACTGCCAACTGTGGTGCCAGCTGGACCTTCTCTCCACCTACCTCCAGCTTCCTAGCAGTGCCTCTCACTGGCTGATCTCAAGAAGAAAGTGGAAGGCAGGGGAGCCCAGGTCACTCAGTCCTCAGAGGTCAGCTTTGGGGGACCCAGAGGGAGGAAGGGATGAAGAGTGGGTGTGGAGGGACTCCTGAGGCCTGCTGAACTTGCCGGGAATCTTTCAGAAGGTGTTCAAATCACAGCTCCCCGGGGACAAGGTCAGCTTGCTTCTGATGGGATGGAGAGTAAAATGCCATAATGGCGATCTGTAAAGTCTCAGAAATGGGGAGAAGGTGGAAGGCTGAATGCAAGTTCTAGAGCTCTAATATGACTTACATGTCTATGTTTTTTGCAAGAATGTATTTGTCGCTGTTGGACTAAATCATGGCTACAAAAACCTGACCCAAGGGGCCAGACTTCTGCCTGCCTGCACTATTTTTAAAATAGTACTGTTGTTTTGAATGGTTTTTAAATCGTGGATGCGCTTTGCAGCTGCTTCACATCTAAGAGCAGACATGACTCCCTGCTTTACCATTTGCAAATAGTCAACCCCATTCCATCATCCCCTTTGTATCATGAGTTACCTGTGGGGACCCTACCTGATCCATAGATTTTCTGTTCAATACTTAGATACCTCTTTACTGTCAAAGTTCCATAAGTCACTGCCCCTTCGTGTTACACCTGTTCTTCCTGACAGTGCTGGCTTTCGAAGGCTCTTGAGGTTGTGACCTTAGACCTCAGCCTCAGAGGAGGGTTCCCAATGTGTGGCCATTCTTAGCTGGGGACTTGTCAGAAGGTAGGTTATTAGACCCTGTTCTGGATATACTTAAAGCCTGGGGAAATGGGACCCGGAGAACTCTTTTAATTTCTTGGGAGGGGCAGTTCTGATGCTTGCTGAAGTTTGAGAATCACAGCTTTAGCATTTAGGGCCCTAGTCAGGTAGGACACATTCACCTCCAGACCCATAGACCTTGTGTTTCTTCCTGCAGGCTACCAGCCTCATGTCTGGACTCAAGTCCTTTGGGAGGCTGCCCCCAGTCATCAGTAGGGTTGGGACTGATTCTCACTGATTTATTATCACTTACTGACTTAAGCTTGTTGCATAGCCAACACCACATTAAAAAGTCCATAAGACATGGAAGTGGAACCAAAAAATCAGTGATATTGGGTCATATATCTGACTTCCCTGGGTTGAGTTGGAAAAACACTCTAATAAAATATGTTCTGACAATGCTAGGGCTTGAGAATATAATTTGTCAGGCATGAAGCACATGCAGGATTGATGCCTCATAGGAGGTAAATAACGAGGCCACCCAGTAAGAAATTGCGTTTGATTCTGGCCCAGGCCACCCCTTCAGCCTGGTTAGCTGTGTGCCCCAGAAACCTTAGATAGATCTGGAAGTGCCTGAAAGGGTAGGGATTATGACATTGATGGGTGACCACGAACAAATCATTTTCCTGCATGGACTTGAGTTTGTAGAAATGAAGAGCTAAAGTGGCTACTCTAGGGTTCTGTAAGTCTCACTTTGTGGTAGGACTGGTCTGCCCAGCTTACTCTTTTGTTGTTGCTTTGTTTTATTTTTGAGGCAGGGCCTGTTATGTGTTCAGGCTGGCCTTGTACTAACTACATAGCTACAGCTGGCTTTGAACTAGTGGCAATCCTCCTGCCTCAGCCTCTACACCTGACCTGCTTTAATTTTTGGTGAAACTATTGTCTGAGCCCATATATAGTGTAGAAGAAACTGAATGATGCAGACCAGCAAGTTTCAACCAAGTGCAGGTACCAGGTCTCTATTGCTGCCTTACAAATGATCCAGACATACAACTCGCAACTACAAATATTTATGATTCCACAGTTTCTGAGGTAAGAATCTGGGAGTGGCCTAACTTGGTGATTCTGGCTCCAGGCCTCTTAGGAGGCTGCAGTCCAAGCAAGTGAAGGTGGGACTGAGCTGAGGGTCAGCTTTTTGGCTACTCACTGAGCTGGCAAAGGCTCCTCCCTGGCATGGCTTTCAGTACAGCCAACACCCTGATAGGAAGCACAAGCAACAAAGATGCTGTCTGTCGTAACTTGATCTCACAGTGACATATTCTACTGATCATACAGA